GGCTTTGTAATACCGCCACTAATACTTTGCGTTGTATACAAATTGTTGATGTCGGCACATTTCCTCGTGAACCTTCGGTCATCGTCGTCATTTGCACTACATATCTTGTGTTATAAGTTGTTGTTCCGCTCCTGTTTAGTAATATGTGCACATTTCGATAAAATGTATATTTGAAAATACACGACAATTTGTTATTTCTGAATATGTATCGTTAAAGACAACAAAAATTACTATTAGTGTTCAAAAATAGGGCCAGGAGTTGTTCCTTGGCCCTTGGGTCCAACGAGATAAACATTCGTGACCCGAGGGTAGAAAACAAAGTAGAACCACAGAAGCAATCCTCTCTTCATGGACCAACTGCAGGTAGAGACTGCAGCCATTCCTATGGATGTGTTAACAACGCGACGATATTGCCCCCTGGGTTTAGATTCTGCGTGGATTCGTACGAATTCACGTGGCGCCACAACGCAGGACAACATGGCCGGCCACATTCAACGCCGTGTCAACTCGTATGTCACATCGCTAACTTTAAGCAGCAGTGGTGCACGGATGCCGGAAGCTCTAGGTTTAAGCGCCTTACGCAATTGAATGCAGTTTCACGACGTCTGAGGGTACGTTCATATCTTAATGTCTTTTGCGATGGTCTTGTATTATTGCTTTATTTTGGACCTGTCCGACGTGTTTTAAGTTCTTGAGATTTCTGAAACATTTTGGGAAAACAGACTACAGATAAAGTCCAAAAGAGAGAAAATCATAATTGAAGTATGTTCTTACAGCATATAATCAGCATCTGTGTATAAACAGCGGGTTAATTGCTGAAAATGTTGGGCCTCACTCATGGAAAAAATAAATAGACTACTAACGCTGAGTTAAGAGTTTCTGTTAATTTTCCATAACTTTCTCAACTCTTAGTCGTATACAAATGGCTGCTATGTGGAGTTTAAAATGCATATTACACAGAAGATGACTCTAATGCTTCATGTGGTCTATTGTCTTATGATAGTAGCTGTATCAATGACGTCACTGCAACACATCATTATCGCCCTTTTCAAGAAAGAGGGAAACTAGCAGTAGTTCAGTAATTAGATTCTGCGAAGTAAGAGCGACGAACAGAATTATATTATAGAAGACTTTCAAGACAGACGAAAACACGGCTTTCTTCCTGTTTTATTCTCACAGAATTATATATAGGCCTACTATTTTTCACGTATATTTACTGATGATTTCCACAGTGAAGAGAAATTCTGTTCAGTTCGCTGAAATTCCTTTCGTCATTTGACTGGTTCTAAGGCTGCGTGGTAATATTTAATGAGTTCTGTAATGCGGAATGAGGTGTAGGAATGATCATGAATTTTGAAGGAAACGGTCGTTGTCTATTTTAAGATACTATAGCGAAAATATGGATGCACTGTACAGATACACGCCTAGATGTTATCAATTGTCTACAACTTTAATTTGAAACATTTTTCCGAAATTTTGAACATTCGTATTTAACGACATGAGTAAAATATTTTATGGCTATAATGCAGTGTGATGTCTACAGTGTAATTAGCATTGCAAAACTGTAATTAATACACGTCACCACCCACAGCCGGTTTAACCACTGGCAAACTAGACGATCCTTTTGAGAGATAAAATTTCAGAGGAGGTGCAAGAAGGGATTTGAGGTTTTCACAGCGGTGTGTCTGGAGATTGCTCTCTTCAAGTGCAAGAAAGTTTAAATAAGAAGGAAAGAGAATTAGCGTTAAACAGAATTAAATAAGCGTCTAATTGTAGAAATCACAAAATCAGGAAGGAAAGAATAAATGTGTTCCTATTCGCGGCTTTGTAATACACCGTCAATAATACTTGGTGTTGTTTATAAATGGTTGATTTGTGCGTAGTGCAGACCACAATCTGATCAGTCAGCGCACTTCCTGGCAGACATTTTGCCCAGTAAATGAGCACCATTAATTGCCATCGTCAGTTACACGGCTGTTCTCATATAAATATATTTTGTTTTGCTTCTGTTAAATATTTTGTTTTGTACTTGATTTCTGAAGAGGTTCTAATATGTATCCCCTTTAGTGCATATTTTTCATAAAGTTTAGAACAATGACGATGTACCTTTAGTGCAGATATCGTATTATTATTCTTCATCATGTAAATTATGTCCGAAATTTTAAATGCGAAATTTTTATTCATATTAATGTACGATAATATTTTTATAACAGGGGAGAGGGTGAGGAACGCAAAGCTGAAGGTTACCTAGGACTCCAAATACCCGTGTGCCATCAGTGTTACCACCAACTTAGTATGAAAAATCCCACCCTTCCACACCTTCCCCTCTTTCTGGATATATTCGGGATCGGTTGACTTAACTCACTCAATGTGTGTGTGTGTGTGTGTGTGATGACACTGATTTTGTTATAAGACTTCGCTTTGAAATTCACGTATCGATTTCAGCGCTTCCCGATATGCCCGTGGCATCCATCTGCCCTACCACGGTGCTTTGTCGACAACGGCGCACTGTGACAATGAGCTGAGTAGCTTGAAGGTTATCTGAAATGTTCTGAAATAGTCGGTTCACTCTACTGTCCTTGCCTGATATTAATTGGGAACTTTTAATTCAAAGTTACTAACAAGATGTAATATCAGTTACGAGTCAGTAGCATAAATTCATTATTACACAGCATGAGTGGCAGATGAAATTGTTCTCAGAGAGCCACTCGCTAACAGTTTACGTTGATTATGAATGATCGAACATGCATACGCAATTAGATAGATCATGTTTCAGTAGATAATAGAAGGCAGGCAAGTATAATTGATGTGAGGTCATTCAGAGGAGCAGATTGTGACACTGACCATTATCCGGTGGTAGCAAAAGTGAGGGAGCGGCTTTCAGTAAGTAGACGAACTAAGCAAATTTTCGACGCAGAAAGATTTGATTTGAAAATAATAAATGAAGGAGCAATATCAAATTGAAATATCTAGCATTGATAGATAGAATAAATACTCTTCCTAGAGTGAAAGCTATGAGAAATAAATTAATTTATTATGTTTCAAAAATTACGTAAGGATGTCCAGAAACTTATTCAACGACGTCTTGTAGAAAAATAAAAAATATAAAACTGCAAAAAAACAGATTTATCTCGGAGAAGCAATCCCGGGAAAATGTTCGGTATTTGTCGACTTAAAAATGTAGACACAGGGCTGTCCAAGAAACTTTCACAGCTGCCCGTTATAGATAAATGTTAAAAACAAAATGTGTTCCTCCCAGAAAGACACCCTTTTAAATTTGCTGATCTTTTCTGTAAACGGAAATTAGATACGGGATATCCAAGAAAATAAACTTCCTTGTTTCCACCAAACGGCGCATCGTATAAAAATATACAATGGACAATCTAGCATGTATATATTCTACGTCAAAGTGTTTTTTCCAACGTGGTAATGAACCTTTGAGTTCCATAAAAGAGGGAAATTTCTTAATGAGATGAGTAATTATAAATTTCTTAAGAAGTATTCTATTGTATGGAGTTATTTAAGGCAATACTTAATTGTATTCATAGTTTAACTCTAATCATAAGAATTTAAACATATGAACATCTGTATCGATTTTGTATTTGTAATACATGTTCGTCGCACACCTTGATTCGCAGTTTTATAAGTAGATACTGCATACCCGCAAACAGTTTCCTTACCATACGTATAAAATATTACTTCTGTTGGATAGAATTTCTTGTCGGTAAATAATGCGTCCACAACATAAAGAAGTGTGCAATGAAAACTAGTTAAAGCGATACTACAAATTAAAAATGAGAACGAAATATGGAATATTTCAGGATTATTTTACGTAACTGGCATCTACATAAGGACATGTCGAAATTTTTCCGGTTCTTTGCAACTGTAGCTAGTACGTACTTGTTTCATCTCCTGAGCGGAAACATACCAAATCGGAATGTTACAGACGGAAATTGCTTGTTAGAAAACTTCTACTCCAGACATTACCAATATTAACTCTCTCCAATACCAACATTCCACGTTCAAATTCCCAGACAAGTTTTAATTTTCAATCGGCTTCTTCCGTAGAAGGAAGAGATTTTTCTTTGTTTCCGGACGACAGATTCAATAAAATGTGAAATCCATCACCTTGTTTCCTGCAAAAGAGCACAGTACACCAAAATAATATTTTTTTATTACGGATGAATTACACGTAAGTATGGTGTTCACTTGAATGTCTCACAGGCCTTCAATGCATACTGGAGTAGTGGTTTTTTTAGAGAAACTGCATCTTGCTTACTGAGATTGCCTATTTAACTTTCCTTCTCTGACCACTATAATTATCATTTCAAACCTACCACTATTCTTTCGATAATTGATGGATCTTAAGCTGGCTCGGTAACACAATTTTACAATATTGATAATCCATTAAAAACACAACCAAACATCTTCATTTAAGATTTGAGGTTTTCACAGCGGTGAGTATGAAGATTTCTGTCTTCTGGGTTGTTGCGCTGTGTAGTCTGGTAGATGTTAACCAACGTTTCAGAGGTCATACTGCCTCCATAATCAGGGCGATGAGTATGAAGATTTCTGTCTTCTGGGTTGTTGCGCTGTGTA